TCAACTGTATCCAACAGACAGGTAAAGAAAATTTCATCCAAAGAGAGCAGAATATATTTTCTTCTCAAGGCCATAAAAAAACCCACCTCAACATATTTAAAAGAATAAAAATCACACAATGTATGCTCTCAGACCACAACAGAATTCATCTTGAAATCATTAACAGAAACATAGCTGTCAAACCCCAAAATACTCAAGACATTAAACAACATACTAATATACAATACAATGGTCAGAAAAGAAGTCTCTATAATATTTTGAACTAAATGAAAGTTAAACAACTTATCAAAAATTGTGGTGTGCAGTAAAAGCAGTGCTTAGAGAGAAATTTATAGCACTAAATACATACAGAAAAAAGAAGAAAGATTAAATTCAATAGTCGAAGCTTCCATTTGGGAAACTAAAAAATGAAAATTCAATGCAAATAAAGCAGAAGATAAGAAATATAGTCATGTGTCACTTAATGATAGAGACACATTCTGAGCAATGTGTTGTTAGGCAATTTTGTTATTGTGCAAACATCATAGTTTGTACTTAAAAAATCCCTAAATGGTATAGCCTATCACACATCTAGACTATTGCTAGGCTAACCTGTACAGTATGTTACTGAATACTGAAGGCAACTGTATAGCTTTGCCCCAAAACAAGCTGAATATATAAGACTCTATTGTTAATATGGACCCTGTGAGACAGGAAACCCAACCTCTCCTTTCCCTTTTGGAAGAGAGAGCGCCTTCAGTCCACAACAGAGGCTACATCTTTCCAGACTCCAAGTTGATGTCACCAATAAATCTCTTCTTTCTAGTATTTAGCCATCCTCGTGGTCATTTGGACTAGACTTCTATGACCACAAATGAAAGAAATCAGAAGGCCATAACAGAAGGAAATCTATAATGTACATAAATCTGTGGAAATTGAACAACATACTCCTAAACAACCAACAGGTCAAAAAAAATTAAAAGGGAAGTTGGAAAATACTTGCAGATGAATGAAATAAAAATACAACATATAAAAATACAACATACCAAAAAGTATGGGTTATAGTTAAAACAGTACTCAGAAGGAAATATATGAGTATAAACACCTATACTTAACAAGAAGAAAGACTTCAAATCAATTACTTAATGTCACAGCTTAAGAAAATAGAAAAAGAATGAATTAAATCCAGAGGTAGCAAAAAGAAGGAAATAATGAAGAGGAGAAAAGATATGAACTAAATAGAGAATAGAAAAAGCAAAAAGAAAATTTTAAAAACTTGGCTTTTGGAAGGAACACAATAAAATTGACAAGCATTCACATAGACAGAGAAAGCAAAGTAGAGACATTACTACCTATCTTTCAGAAATAAAAAGGATAACAAGAGTATAAACATCGTAGGCCAATAAATTAAGTAACCTAAATGAGATAAACAAATAGCTAGAAACACACAAACTACCAAAACTGACTCAAGATGAAACAGAAAATATGAAAAGGTGTATAACTAAGTAAGGAGTTTGAATCGGTAATCAAAAATCTTCCAACAAAGAAAAACCCAGAACCCAAAAGACTCAGTGACGTATTCTATCAGTCAGTCAAAGAATAATTAAATAAAATTCATCTCACTTTCTTCCAAAATAATAGGAGGTAATCCTTCCTAACTCATATCTGACACCAATGCCAGAAAATGATATGATTACAGGCCAATAGCCATTATGAATACAAAAATTCTTAATAAAAATATAACAAACCAATTCCAGTAATATAGTAAAGAATATACCATGACCAAGTAGGGTATGTTCCAGGAAAGCAAAGGTTGTTCAATATATAACAATCAAAATAAGAGTATACTGCATTAATAGAAGGCAGGGTGAAAATAAAAAACACATAATAATCTTATTTCATATAAAAGTAGTATTTAACAAAATACAAAATCCTTTAATTATAAACCCACAGCAAATATCATATTTAACAGGGAAAGACTAAAAGCTTTCCTCCTAAGATCAAGTGCAAGACAAAGATGCCAATATTGCCCCTTCTACTAAACACTGTGCTGGAGGTTAAAGCAAGAACAATTTTGCAAGAAAAATCTGGAAAATTTATCCAGGGTGGAAAGGGCTAAGTAAAAATATTGCTATCCACAGACAACATGATCTTCTACATAAAAACTATTAAATATTTCCCCAAAACAAAACAAAGCCAAAAAACACTATTAGAGCTAATAAAGGAATTCAACCAAGGGTGCAGAATCCATTTTTTAAAATCCAGTGTATTTCTATACACTTTTCATGAACAATGTATAAAAGGAACTAAGAAAAATTCCACCTATAATAGCAACAGAAATAACAAAATAATTCAAAATACATTTGCCAAGAGTTACAGGACTATACTTATATATTGAAAACTGAAAAATGCTGCTGAAAGAAATTAAACAAGTTCTAAATAAATGCAAAGCTATCCTGTGTTCCCAGATTAAAAGACTTACTATTGTTAAGGTGGCAATAATATGCAAAGCTATGTTCAGATCCAATGCAATCCCTATCAAAACTCCAATGGTGATTTTCATCACAAATGGGGAAGGAGATGCTAAAAATCATATAGAATTACAATCAATCTCAAATTACCAAAACAATGTTAAAAAGGAAGAACAAAATTTAGGGAACTCTCACTTCTCAATTTCAAAAATGCCACAAAACTACAGTAATCAAAATGGCATACTGACATAAGAACAGAAAAACAGAACAATGCAATAGACTTGAGAATCGAGATAAGCCCATATATTTATGGTTACCTGACCTTCAACAAGGGTGCTAAGACAATTCAATGTGGAAAAGAATGGTCTCTTCAACAAATGTTCTTGGGCAACTGGATAGCTGCATGCAAAATATGAAGTAGAAGACTGAACCCATACCTTATACTATATACACAATTAGCTCAAAAAGAATCTTATTTCTAAATGTAACAGCTAAAACTACAGAAGGGGTAAATCTTCATGACCTCAGATTTGGCAATATATTCTTATAAACATCACCCAAAGGACAAGAAACACAAGGAAAAAATAGGTAAATTGGACTTCATCAAAATTAAAATCAATTGGGCATCAAAGGACATTATTAAGAAAGTGAAAAAACAATCTATAAAATGGAAGAAATATTTGCGTATCACATATTAATAAGAATCCAGTATTAGGAATATATAAAGAACTTTTACAACAACGCCAAAAAGACACACAACCCACTTTTAAATTGAGCAAAGGACTTGAATAAACACTTCTCCAAAGAAGACACACAAACGACCAAAAAGCATGAGAAGATGTTCAACAACATCTGCCTTTGGGGAAATGCAAATCAAGCCCACAATGCTTCATTTCTATTGGATATCATTTCTTTTACAAGTTTCAGCACACTTTCAGGTTCTCTTTCTCTTTCTTTCTTTCTTTCTCTGTCTTTCTTTCTCTCTCTTTCTCTCTCTCTCTCTCTCTCTATTTTTTGTCTCACTCTGTCACTCACGCCAGAGTGCAGTGGCACGATCTCGGCTCACTGCAACCTCCACCTCCTGGGTTCAAGTGATTCTCCTGCCTCAGCCTCCTAAGTAGCTGGGACTACAGGCTCACACCACCATGCCCGGCTATTTTTTACATTTTTATTAGAGGCAAGTTTCACCATGTTGGCCAGGCTGGTCTCAAACTCCTAACCTCAAGTGATCCACCTGCCTCGGCCTCCCAAAGTGCTGAACACAATGTTAGTCACACTTTCAGGTTTTCTAAGGACTGATCTACCTATTAAACAGACCCGGGAACAAAGACCCCATAAATCCTATAAATGCTAATAATAAGTCCTTGAAGAAATAAAGAAAGATTCTATTTCTGGTAATTAGTCTCAGAGGCTGGAGAAAAACTCTCAATGTATTTCTGGAGAAGAGAAGAGGGAAGGAGGGGGACGCCAGAGAAGGGAAGTAGAGTAGCCAGCAGAGGGGAGGGAAGGTGAGGGCCGAGGAGAAGGAAAGAGGGGAGAAGAGAAGGGAAGAGAGAGTGAAAGAGAAGTAAGGGAGATAAAAGACAGAAAATGGGGCTGAACTTCTCTTGTTCTTTTCCCTTAAAGCTTCATGCCTCTCAATTGTGTTTCTAGATGGCCAAA